ACATTTGCTCACTTCAGTCCCACTACGACAAAACTAGCCAGCCAATGTAATTACGAAACTATAATTGCACCTGGACCTGCTGCTGGCTGTTTCATGTTTGGTTTTCGTTCATTGTAACAGGATACCTGTTTAATATTTCGCAAAATTTTGTTTGTACATGTGATGTAAATATTAACTCTGAAGTATTTTCTGATTATGGTGATGTATTGGTATGATCCAAGAGCGCAGATTTCATAAGATTCGCCAAAAGATCATTTGCAATTAACATTCGCAAAACATTTTGTTTTATAATTAAACACGTTCCCAATGTTGATGAATGTACTCCAAAATACTGACAAAAGCCAGCATCATGCAATGTATCTCAATATATTGGGTTTCCCTGCATTTTCCACCACTTAGATATGGCTGACGGAGCTCGATCCTCTTAGATGAATTTATATGTATTAGGTATTGATCATTTCGTGCTGGGAAAGATTCATAATTGTTTCTGTGTAACACATCTCATTATCCAGGAGCAATTATTGCCTTCAGGATATAGCATCATGTTTATTCCCTCAAGTTAGAATGATAGAGAAATCAAGAAATATCAAACCTATTGTGCAGTTTGAGTGTACGTAGATGGAGTCAAGATATGCCATGGCAACAGTCTATGTTTGTGCAATTAGGTAAAGATTTCCCTCAACCTGATCATAGGTTGGAGTATAGCTACTGCTCTGGTTAAACTGCCAGTCAGAATTAGAAGAGGTGTTGTTTCTTATTGAAATATATTAGGTGGTAGCTATTCTGGAGTGTGTTCTTATCAATGTCTGTAGATTTTAATTGCCAATCAGCTGGATTATGCAAGTTATATTAAGTCACAGAATTTTATATTCATACCACTGAATTGTTTTCATATTGATTTTGATAACTTTCATATCAAAGGATTTAAAGTTTTTCATAAACTTTCTTCTTCACTGGAGTTCTAAAGGCATACATGTGGTGAATTTTAGCCTAAGATATATCTGACTAGTTCTTCCTGTGAAGTGCTGAAGCCTTGTCAGGCCTTAGGATTTATAACATATTCTCTGATAACGGCCAACCTTACACAGGATTTTATTGTGTAAAGATTCTTCTGGCATATAATTAAAAGAGTTTGGCTCGTGTTCCTGGACCACTGTTTTCATATCTGCTGATAAAAACACTTATTTTGAGAGGTAGGTTGTTCAAATTTCTTTGTTCTTCAAGAAATGTTGAAGTTTTTGTACCAGCTTTGTTCATGATGTTTTCGAACTTTGTAAATTAAGACATTGTTTAAGGGTGTATGTGGTATTCTGTAAATAGCTTGATATCTTGAATCTTCCCAGTCCAATCATTACAATCTGCCAAGATTTATCATGTCGTAAACCTCAGGAGGTCAACAATGATATCATACCAACTCAGTGAGTTTAAAAAGGTGTGAAATAACATTTGTTGACATTTATGTTCAAACAAACAAAATCATTACCCGATAAAAATAGACTTACTGGTTTACCAAAGTTCATATTAACAGAAAAATTAGAATGAACAACTCTTTCTGTTCAGTAAGGACATGAAAGTTGAAAAATAGATACAAGAAGTTATTCCTGTTTATAGTGTACATAGTCATCTGATGATTTCTTTTCCATTATCTTGGAAGGTGTCTGTTTATTACATTCATTTGTAAAAATCAGTTGTGTTAAAGTGTGCTTCAATGTTTTCAATAGCTAAATTGGAAGATTAAACTAGGAAGTACTAACTTAACATTCTGTAGGATGACTGACACACTAAAGTACTTGTTTGTATATCAGATATTGACAACAGTTTGATCATACAATTTTCTATGTTAGAATATAAGAAGATGATGGATGGAGTAATTTGAAGGTAAGCACCAACTTTGAAAAAGTGTTGCAATAGAGATTTTGTAGTATTTAGGTCACCTGCTGGCAGTAACAAGGAACCAGCCAAGGCTGTTTAATGATTAGGAGAATGTTATCTATCAGCATGTTGAATGGTGCCATGTACTATTTTACCAAACGATGGAAATATTTTTAAATTGCCTATTTCAAGAACAGCAGTGCTAATGTAGTCACTCCCTGTGTCAGCATCCTATCTGCAGATTGAAGTTTTGAACTGTATGGATATTACCTGTGCAACTTTTTAGCTTGCCTCTTCAAAGAAAAGTGAAAGCCTTAATATGTTACCACCATGGTGTCAGCATTGGCTTTTAAATGTTAAGATTTTGGTGCAAGCGTTGGACATCAATACATCACTTTAAAAATGTATTAGAGTACTGTTATTGGTATTGGGGTCCCTTTGGGTTTAACTTTCATTTCCCATTGTCAGACATGTTTTTAACTTACACTTCTCACTTCTGAAACATTTAAATACAATTTGGACAGGTTGCTGTGCAAATGGGATATCAGTAGACAATTTTAACATTAAAGCCAAACTAGGATTGCTCATTTATTACTTTACAAACGTTGTGAACAGTGCAGTTGTCTTGTTTTTAATGTTTCTGTTACAACAAAGAAGTTTTATTAGTACTTTAGTTGTGTGTGTGTGACACATCTGCAGTTGACCAAATTAACCTGCTATTTCAGATTCCCAAAATGGTCTATTGGGGAATTGTGGGGAATTATTGGGTATTGAGAAAGTCTAGATATACCAGATGACCATTGAAGAAGCTGTTTTATCATCAAAGAATTGTTGTGGGGTATTGGTGGAAAAATGTTTTATCTATACTATTAACTACCAGTAAGTCATAATCTTCAGTAAAATAGGCATGCACAATCAAAATAACAAGAACTTGCTGTTTCAATACACAACATTTGATTGTCAACGTTCTTAAGTGATATTCTACAAAATGATGTTTAGTTCAATTGAATGTAGTACTGTATTTGACTGTGCAATCAACTGTAGGAGAATCATAACTTTTGTTTATTGGTTAAGCCTTACATAGTCCATTGGTTGACATCTCTGTTTAATTCTCATTACATTTCTTTTCAGTGTGTTTTTAGTCACTGCACATGTTAAAATAAATGAACAGTATCTACAGAAAGCAACCACCAAAAAAAAAAAAACCCAATTTACTGTATACTGGATATTGTCACCCCAGGTTGTTTTCCCCCTCATATCATCACACATAAATTCACCTTATGTAACATTTCATCACCTGGTTATTTTTAAAAGGATTATATAATTGTGACAAATTTTCACCCCATCTTAAATTTGCCCCCCTTGTTCATGAAGGAAATGGACAAAAATTGAACTAGAACCAAAATTTCCCATTGTACAGTTATTTTTTTATTTAGTTATAAGATGTTCGTATCATAACCTTAATTACATACAGAGATAAAATCTTATTGAACTTGTTTTTAGATATTTTATCAATTTTAATCCTAGTGTAAAATTAGTTTAATATGTGCACATGTTTTGTACACTTTCTTTTCCTTTTCAAGTTAGTACACCAAACAATAAGTTATAAATATATATTTGACTTAAAGAAGTGGAGTTTAAAAGAACCCATGTTCAAACTATTTACTAATCATGATCGTGGCATTAAATAAATCATGACAGAGTCACTATGGTTAAATAAGAACGATTGTTGTTCAAACATGCCTTAAAATGTCACTTTCAAATGTAGAGCACTTTGTGCTGCTTCTTGGTTTTAATGGAAGTTTTTTTCACATATCAATTAAATTTTTTGTCTAGTTAATTATTTATGATACAGAATCTTTGATTAAAATACCGACATACTTATTGCTATAAGTAAATGTAACCCATACTTGACTTTCGCAATAAAATTTTATCACTTTTTGGCAAATTAACTGTTTGATATTTTCAGTGCAATACTTTCAGGGCAAGTTTATACTATAAGTTTCTCAGATCACCATCAGAATCAATTTATTAGTCTTGTCTAAACATTACATATACTCTCTACTTAATATCAGACTAACCAAGAGAACCTTGGAGTTTAAGTAGAAAAAACTTCCCTTTTATGATTGTCTAGCAATCTCGTGCAATATTGATAACTTTCATTAGACATATGTGTTTTCCATTAAATATGGTCAATACACACAGGAAACCATTGACTCGGGCAACTTGCCATGCTTGTGAAACATTTTTCAGCTAAATGTTATGGCATGTTATTTGACAAGAAAGAATTGTTACCATGTATGCATGCATATATATTATGTTGTTGGTCAATGTGACATTTTTATGTGGCAGTTGACAGGCATTACTGCCTTATGGGGTTAATGGTCAAAACAGCATTTCGAGGCAGGTAGGGAAAAAACGGTTCAGTTGATTAAATTAGATAAAGAGTATAAAATTGATAAATATTTGAACTAATGGGATCTAATTTTGTGATAAGACATTGATTTGATAAGGAGTATCTTTTTTAATTGATTAAAGATAAAGTGAACTAAAACATGCCATGTACTGCCTTAATAACTAGTGATACAACTGAGCAAAAAAATAGGAAATAGTGTCATAACTAAGTTATAGCCAATGAGATGGTTGGTAATGTCCATTTGTGAATTTCAGTGTTCTTTATGTAAATGGCTCATAAAATTTAGTAACTGTTCTTCAAAGGTTATATCACCAATGAATGTTTACCATCTTCAGAAGCTAAAACGCATTTCATAGTTGGGCTAGCTTTAACCAATGGTAACTGACAAGCAGTCAATTATAATTTATATTTAACATTTATCTCTGCTTTTATGGGACGACTTAGCTATCAAAGTTTGTGAACAAGTATGCATTTATAGGGATGACTACCAGGATATTGTTGTCAACAGCAACAATACTGATGAAAACATCATCGTTAGGATTTACTATAAAGTTATTTATATAAATTTAATTTGTTACTTGCATCTTAAACATTCTGGTACCATAACATAAATTGTGAAATTTTTAGCATATGTGAGGTGACTTATTATGAAATATTATGGATATTTTATTCAGTTTTTATTTTCTGTTGCAGTTGGGGCTAATCAGTCGCCATGGCGCTGCACCAGGTGACTCTTTCAATCTTTGAGAACAATGTTGGTGTGAGTGATGCCGTTCTGCTAGATCCACTTACAGAAGATGCATTCATAGAAAATATTCAACAACGCTTTGCCCATGACCAGATATATGTAAGTGGATAAAGAAAGCTAATCTTCTGAAGACTAAATAATTCTAAAATGAAAAAGAAATGCTAAAGAGTGAAATTCTTGAAAGAAAGTTCTGACGGATTTAGGGAGGCTATATTAATGTTTGGCAGTTCTGTATAATGTTGTATGAGAAATTGAATTGTTTAAATGAATGGGTAAAGAGAATATCTAATATTGTCTTCTTTAATAACAAATATATTTCACACGGGTGTCAAATATTTTAGTGTCTTTCATGAATGTGCAGTACGAGTGAAAGATATTATGCACACTATTAGTAATTCTATTTATCATATTCTTACAAGCAAGATAGCAAAATTACTTGCATGTTCAGAACAAATGTTACTCAAAAGAAAAAAAAAACAGGAAGTGTACCAGTATGAGACGGTGTATTCCTATAACATAAGAGGTCACTGGACGGCTGCTTTGTTATTTGTCATTATTGTGATGACTGCAACTACACAACACCTGCAATAAGTTTCTCGCTGTGTAAAATCTCTAACATTGTTGGAGTAGAGATGGTACTGAGATTTTTATGAGTACCTACCTATGAATTGTTTGTGACTGAAACAGATCGTCTAGAGTCATCATTTGCAAATTTATACAGGATGATTTGAAGATTGAAATAAAAATAACATTCTCATGGATTTAATTAATCATACCTTTTGATATAAATCACAGCAATATCTTCTGGACTTTCGCGGTTACTTCAAAGTCAAAGCGGAAGTATGCGATAGCCTTTTGTGTCCTGGGATCAATAGGTTGTCAGGTTATAGGTCAAATTTTAAAACAACTGCCATGCTTGTTTACAATATGAATGGCTTTGTGTAACCTATAAGAAGAAATAATATGGGACTATAAGAATTTGCTCAGCATGTAAGGGTCTTCCTTAATATTTAACAGTACAGACACAAATGGAGAGATTGTTTAGCATACATAACGTCAGGCCCTATATCTGTGTGTAGGCAATATGTGAAGGCACCCAAGCCAAACAAGTTCGATATTTGCTATTTTAGGTTTTTTGAACTTTATCAATAAAATAAAGGACTATCTGTGTATGATTCATTTACAAACTTAATTAAATGTTTCACTTATGGTCTTGATAAATTGCCCTCCATTGTTGGTTATATCAACAAACTGTGGTCAACGTAACGGTTACCATTTCATAAGAACTGTCTTCCGTTATCTGTTACTAGTATATCAAACATCCACAGTAGTGGTCACCATATTGTAAGAAAGGGTGTGGCTTATATGTAAATCAATTCTAAAAAATCGGTAAAAATCAGCTCTGTGGTTTATGTAACCAGGAAAATACAGTATAGTGTTCCACTAAAGTTCATACTAAACACTTTAATTATTAAATCAAGTGTTATAATTTAAAAAGCATTACTTGAAATAATTGAAAAACCTGAATTTCAGTTCAATTATCCTGTTTCTTTTCCGTACGATTTGCGCTGTTAATGATTTAAGCCTAATTACTAATTAGATGCACCTCTTCAGCTTCATGATCACCAAACCCACAATATTCCTCTCATAGGTAAAATTTACTGCTTTAATCAGTATTCTTGTTAACCACTTTTCTGCTTTTAAGGAATATTCTTTAAACGTTTAATTGGATTATTTTGTTTGCAACATAATAAATAAAGGGTGATCCAACATTTTACAGTAGCGTCCTTGGGTGGATCCATTGATAGGATTCAATAGAGTTCCTTAACAAGAAAACATAATTAAGCAAAAATAAAAATCAACTCTACAAAGACATTTTGTGGAATAAGTCTACATGTTTTGGCTGGGAGGGAAGTTCTCTACTATTATGATGTCACTATGTATTTGTAACCCTTGTACCACATTTATACACTTTAGGCATCAGCTGTAATAAATTCTATGTCCTGATGACAACCACAGTCCTTGTAAGTGTTGGGTTTCCTTCTTGCTTTGAACAGTAATTGTGTCCTGGTATATTTTTGCACATAAAAATAAAGGAATGTTGTCTTTAGAGTTTTGGTTTTTAACACAATAATTGCCTGTTTAGAGTCTTCTTGTGATCAGTCATGATGTATCTTATTGTTTCCTTGTTGGGACTTTTTTTATTCTCGTCTTATCAGATCGAGCTTTTGTTAGGTTTGTCATTGAACATTCAGATTTATACAGAACAAGATATGATTCAAGAATTCCTAAATTGTTGCTAATGTATGAAAAATACACCTGTAAGTGAGTTTATTTTATGATATTATACCCTGGATGATTGCCTGGCAGTTTGAAATTTTTGCACACAACTTTTATGGTCAGAATTTTAAGTCTCCAAAAGTGTAACATTTTTAGACCTCACTTCATACACAAAAAACACAACATAATGCAAGAATGTCCTATTGGTGGACTGACTGAAGTTTGAAATGATGAACAATTAAGAAGATTTACTGATAGTTCAAGTCTATAATTGAGGTGCATCCCCCTATACTAAATAGGGCTACCTGCTCCCCACCTCCTCCTTCCAACCCTACCAGGCTTATCTTTTGATGTAAACATGTAGGAGAATGTTAAGGAGAAGTGGATCTGGGACTGCTATAATGATAAAAATAGGATGGAGACAAAAGAAAAGATCTAATCAATACCTAAGTTTGTGCTTAGACTCATGCAGATATATATTGGTTTTCTAAAATCATCCTAATAGTTTTTCAAATTCCAACAATTATAAAAAAACCCACAATAATAGTCATTTTCTTTTTTATTTAAAAGGCCATGGCAAGAAAGCTTTGTAACATGGAAGCTAAGGATGTTGATGTTTTGAAGAACATGTGCTTGATAATTGGGACAGTCAGTCTTGAAAACCCACTCAGGAACAGTTTGCTGAAGTAGTATGTACCTGTAAGCCCATAGCTAGGCTATTTTTTTGTTTCAATTGTGAATAATTCATTTTTATCTTCTTCCTTTCTGCAGACATACATTGGCAATGTGGTGGTGTCTGTCAACCCATACAAGAAGTTGGCCCTCTACACCGACAGCGTGATTGAAGAGTACAGATGTCGCAACATATATGAACTCCCGCCACACATGTAAGAAACCAAAACTTCATCCATTGAAACTCATTGCCATGCAGCAAATGTGTATTATCTATTAAGTGCATTTGTACCACAGTCCAGGCACACAATTTTAATCAATTTTCATTTTGTTTAGACAATAAGCTTTTTATAACCATCGGAACTAGTTCACATAATCTGAAAATTTTGTTTTCTAAAACATTGTCAGGAACAGTTTTTTTTCAAAGTATTCATTTATACCTTATATTATAGTTGAATTGTAATATAGAGTATAGCTCCATTGAGATTGACAAAACCCCATGGTATGTCAATCAAGGCTCTCACAGGACTAAATCAGTCCAGACATCCTTATCCAGTACATGTGTGTCGGAATATGCATAGCTATGGACTTAATCCATAGGCTATCTATATTGACAAAATTAACTGTACTGCTATTGACCAATAGAATCTGTGAACATCTAGGTGTTAACACTAAAGTTAAAGACTCCTTTCCAACAAATTACATTTCTGCAATAGTTTGAACAATAAAAAGTGTTTTATAATGGTAAACTTTAGCTGTAAATGGTCTTTAAGGGGAGTTATTTAAAACAGGGTTGAAGTCAAAGTTGACTTTAAGTGGTGATGATGCCTTCTGCTTAATATATATAATACACTCAGAATCAGGTAAAAATAAGGGATTAATATTAAGGGGATTGTATCTATAGGCTAACTTGTATTTCTAACCCTCTCCCGTGTTTGTCACAGGCATAACAAAATATAGCAATGGTGACATTTTTTATGTTTGATGTCAGGCTCTGTTAGGTGTTACCACCAAAATATCTTAGAGTTCAGATTGATCTGTTTATATCAAGCACAGGTGATTTATTAATTTTCACTTTCACTTTCCTATTATGAAATACTTCATGTTGTAATGTTGAAATCAATCCATTACACCATGGATAAATGGCACATGAGACATATGACAAAATTAATGAAATGGTTTAAAGCTTGTGACATAATAGTGCATCACAATTGTACATGAGGACAATTTTGAAAACAAAGCATATATGAGCTGTCTTTCCCAAGGTAGGTAAAGACAGGTTTTTGTTAGCAGAATGGAGATATACACATGAGAGGTATTGGAGGATGTAATTCTATTTGTCCAACAAGAAAAAGTCCGTCCATGTTGACAAAGGCCAATAATATTTGCTGTGGATTAAATCTATCCTGCAGAAACATGACTAGTTCCTATTGAAAAAGTTCCATGTAAGTCCTATTCATATGGACAATAAATCTGTCTAACATAGCTATAGACTTTGTAGATTAGTCCATATTGACAGTCTGATATTATGGCTTTGGACTAATTCTGTTTTTAATCAAACTTGAATTTTAAATCTTTAAATTCTGTCCAATGTAGACAAAAATGTTGGTCAATAATTGACTGATCTGATGGTTACTGACTGACAAGTGTACTCCTCACTTATAAAACAGATGAACTTTCTAAATAAAAAGTGTGTAGCTATACACTATGATTAGTCCAGTCTGATTAAGTCTCTTTGTACATATTATATAATATTATCAACTATGTCTGCAAAATGAATTGACTTCTTTCAGTGGGAAAGATTAATACAGCCACTCAATTGCATATAAATCTGAGGTTTCCAATTTTGTAGATTTGCATGTCATATGGTATACAAAAATTGAAATATCCTAATTAATCCTTAGCAAAGGGCTTTGAAATGGAATTATGTGATATAAGATATTTGTTATCAAAACATGTGGCATGCACACACATTTTCTATGTTTTGTGTATACAGATTAGGATGTTAAAGGTCTCTGTCTAACACCATCGCAGCTGTTTATCTATCTGACCCTGTTCAAGCTGTTTACATATCTCATTCCACAGCCTTAACAAACAAAAAATTGTTCCCACACAGAAAGTATATAAAGTTATCACTATAAAAAGCAACGTGACATTCATGATTATTATATGCACAATCAAACAACAGATTGTGATGACTTTTACAGGAAAATCTGATGATATTTTAAACTGAACAGCTAAGCTGTTCCGAAAAAAAAAAAAAAAATGAAAACCCAAAATAAATGAATTGTAACTGACTTCACTTATAATGTAGAAATACCATGCCTCTAATTCATATAGCAATTACTTGCTCTATCTCAAATCAGTGAAGAAGTTGGGAAGTTAATGGTATACTGCTGTGTTGTATTTCACTGCTGTCAAATGTTAGGGAGACTTTGGATGGTTAGAAGCTCCAGCTGTTTATGGGTGTCTTTGTGCAGTATTTCATTAAGCATGATGGTGCAGTGTGTTATAACTATTATCATGGTTTCCTTGGTGATTTCAACACTATATACATATATTGCTTGTTTTATTTACGGTATATTTTTTAATTTGTTGTAAACAGAAATAAATTTGCTTTTTTAATTTAATTTTGTTTGGGTGGGGGGGACTTGTCATCAACACCTGCAATTTTGTAATTGATGTAAGAAAAAAAATGAAAGAAAAAAAACATCTCTTTAAGATAGGGTAACTGAACAGATGTGCATCCTATATATAGTCTCATATTTATGTTAGTAATAAACACGGAGTGGATAAAGGGAAGAGGGGTTATAATGGACAATGTTATCTCAAGTCTTTGATGTGAGTTACTACTCATTGTGGATTTAATGGTTATGTTGATGACTAGGGGATAGGGACAATGAGATGAAGGTATCAATGCCCAGCGATTTTCTCTCTTGTTTAAGTATTTATGGACTCTCAAAAAGCATAGCATTTGCTCTTATCAGTTATAATGCTCACTTAGAGGAAAGAGACAAATGTTTGTTTTATTTCTGAACTGATAATTCTGCTACAGATGGACGATGTTTATTTGTACTCTCCCAAATATCCTCCTTGTATTCTATATCAACAAGCCATGTAGACAAAGGTGAAATCTGTGTGAGTTTCGGAATCATTATAGTAAATTTTTATCATTGGTTGCTATGGTTACAGGAGATGACTCAGCTTCTTTTATTATACATTCATTGGTAATTTGTTTATGTTGTTGATATAACGGAACCTCATTTCTCTGATCAGAGAGTTTTTGTTGTGATAAAGCAATTCATAAAAAGAAAAAAAAAATGAAAAAAACATTTGTCAATATACAAAGTATTGTTTTGAATTTCTTCATAAATAAAACATTGTCATGTGAATATTTGGCCTTTCATCAGAATAACAGCTATAACTGGCACAATTAAAAAGTGTAGGATTAGCAGAAAAAAGTCAGATAAACTCCTAAGATGAAATATGAAACTTTAACCTAATTTTAAACTGATGGTAGATCCTTTTACTAATTTCCGATCTCCCTCATCCCTGACCCTAATTTTTCATCAGGTGGTAGATAAATGTTTGTTGCAGTAGACTTAATGCTGTAGACTTAATTTGCCTGTCACCTCCCATTTGTCTCCAGAGGAAATGTAGTGGTCTGCTGGTCCTGATAAGGCTGTTTCACCACACATCAGGCCAAGGCAGATAGTTATTCAGGTTTTCTGTACATGGAGGCAATATGTATGTTGTGGTTTGGTTTATACTACGCTTCTCTCAGCTTACTAAATATATTATGAATCAAACAGTTTGTGCTTTCTTATCAAAACATGTGCGTAAAGTAACATGGTCGTGGATGTCAAACACTTTGGTTTCAAGGTCATTTGTAGCTAGTTGAATTATCAGTATCGCTTGATTCATAAAGAATTCATGAATTGATTCCGTCTGAAACTGTTAGCCTTCCTCCATTGTTTCCATCCACTAGTTTAAAAGGGGATGTTGATTCAGATCACTCAATGGTATAAAGATTTGACAAAGGTCAAAATATTGCAAGGTCTCTTCAACATTTTTTGCCTTTAGAGTAAATGGAGGTATTAGATAATATAATAACTTTCAAACATTTTTAAGATAACAAAGATCTCAGAAAAAGTTAAGCCAATGACCTTTTTCTGTTGACAAAAGTAGGGATATATGGACAATATATATTGCTATATGTATGTTCTAATTAAAATGATACAAACTAGTTAATTGGCCTTGAATAGATAAAGAGAAAACATTTGAAATCCAGAAAATGTCTACCACCAAATAAAAGGTAAATTAGTTTAACTGACTACTTGATGTGTTCCAACAATTATGTTTGAAATCATCTGAGGTTATTTACTGCAGTAGTTGTTGACACTGATTAGTAACAGACAAGAGAATTAATGTTCTGTATCAGTCTTATTTATATACTAAGTGCTTTGAACCAATACCAATATGTGTAGAATATGATCACAGTTTGAATATCCATTCAATGTCAGACTGCTTAAATTTGATACCTCGATTGACATATAAATAACTTACTTAGCCTTGTCATATTTGTTTACATGCCTGTAGTGGCAAGGACAAAAAGTTGGCCTTGCATAACAAGAATACCATTGTTTCTAATATAAAGGGGTTTGTTCTAGTGGTTTAGTGGTTAGGAGGAAAATAAACATACATGCCTGTATAAAGGTGTTTGAAGTATGAGAATTTGATTTATACGGACACAAAGAAACATAGATAAATGCCAAGTTTGTACATATGGTCCTGTGAAGAAGAATTACCTTGAACACACTTTTAAAAAACTGCATATTAAGCAGATTACACAAAATATTTTTCAGTGCTTATCATTGACTGAAATATCGACTGTTTCATATATACTTTTAATGTACACATCATTTATATAACTTGCTTATCTTGGAAAGTATCATTTCAAAATTGATTTAAGATGGTGAAAACAACTTTTTTTGTTTCCTGATGATGTTTTTACATTTGTTTTAGATATGGATCAGAAAATATTGCTTTAATGAAGTCGCATGTTCTAAAATTATTTAAATACACTTTTTTAATGTCCCCATGCTGTATTTAGAAGTAGAGCAAATTGGGTGATAGGGAACCAAGTTTGTATAAGTATTACAAGTTAACATGTCAGTATTCTTGTTGTACCAACAATTCTAGTTCATTTAATGAA